GACAGCTGGCAAGGTCTGCCAAATGCCACTGGAAGAGGATGTGAGGATGCCTCATTTCCTACATTGAAGTTCATCTGTGTTTCAAAGTAAAGCAGAAAAGTGAGGAACTGAAGTACGACATTTGTACAGTTCTGAGTTACTACCATTCTTCTTCTTGTCGAGTCGGTTCCAACTCATGGAACCTGTAGGGTTTCTGGTCGATTTGAATTACCAACCGTGTGGATAGCAGTCCAGTGCATGTCCTACAGCATCTCACCAGGACTCCGAATCCTATCTTAGAGAATCACAGAGGTTCTATTTCTGAGGGAAATTTGGGGATCATTTAACCCAGTTTTTCCCTCCACTCCAGAACCTCTCCAGTAGCTTAGTCATCTCAGGAAGCCTCTGTTGACTTGGAAATTGTTCTCATGCGAGGCAGGCTGTCATGAAACCAAAATGTTATCTTTACATGGCACTAACCAATTCCACTTCTAACTTACCCTGTAAGGCCACACAACGTTCGTGAGAAGAGGTCTGAACCTGTATTAATACAACAGTCTTTTAACTGCTTGAAGGCAATCACCACAGCCTCCTTCAATACCCCTAGATCTATCCACAGTAGCTTCAGGACTTGTTGGCCTAGGTCTCCCCCAAAAACCTGAGAGGAATTTTCTAGGTGTAGTAAGCGCAACATAGGACATATCGTGGGTAGTATATGGGCCAGGTGACCGCAGCGACCACAGTCACCACAGAGGCACGGTGACTGATTTAGGAACTTACTGTCCAGTTCGATGCAGCTTGGAGGTGACCCTTTACAGCAGGACCAGGGCATCCTGACCAGGCCTGAGGTTGAGCACTTGCTAAACCCTGGACGGTCTATACCCTCTCACTGTCTGGGGTCAAATCTGGCCCCGAGCCAGAGTCTATGGACACTGGATTTCATGGACACGTGTGGGGAAAACCACAGGGTCCTGAGCATGACATAGAAGGGAGAAGCCCGCCCTCTTGTGGACCCCTTGGGATTGGCAAGATGCAAAAATACCCTGAAACCACACACTGTGAAGGCTCTCATTTCTGTAGTTGCTTCAGGTAGGGCGCCCTGCAAGAACATGACTCTGCACTGTTGTGTGACATGGGAATGATGTCAGGGGCATGAAGGGAAGTCATGAGGTGGAACTTTTAGAGTCCAGTAATCTGGTAAGAGAAAACGGAAGAGAAATTGTTATTGTTAGGTGCCCTAAGTCGGTTCTGACTCCTAGTGGACTTTAGACACAACAGAAGGAAACCCTACCTGGCCCTGCCTCACGGGCACAATTGTTGTTTGAATCCATCATTCTAACCATTACATCACTTCATCTCATTGAGGGTCTTCTTTTTTTTTTTTTTTTTTTTCACTTACTCTCTACTTTCACAAGGACGTGTCCAAAGAAAGTGAGACGGAATAGCCCATCTTCTCTTCTCAGGAGTATTCTGGCTGTATTTCTTCCAAGATGTGTTGGTTTGTACTTCTGGTCTAGTTAATATTTTTCACCAACACCATAATTCAGAAGTATCAACTCTTCTTCAATCTTCCTTTTTCATTTGCTGTCAGTTCTGAGACAAGAGACTTGTCTTCTTTCAGTGGCTGTAAACTTGGTGTTTCTTGGAAATCACCATGTGTCTTAGCATCCACCTTCCTCTAGATCTAGAAGTTTCTCAGTACAGGGACCCCAGGCTCAAAGGACACACTCCACTTCCGGCTCCTTTTTCTTGGTGGTATTGAGGCTGCGTTCTCTCTCTGTTCCATGCTCTCTCTTTATAAATCTTCTAAGATGAAGAATAATGCAGGTCATTCCCTCACATTGGATCAGAGCTGTGGCCTGAATAAGGATGTTGCATCCCAACCTAGTCCCCTTAGAATTGATTGGTTGAGGGCATCCACTCACATCATGGGGATGATGACATCATTACATAAATGCCAAATTACATCATTACATAACTACTAAACCACTAAGATCATGGTCCAGACAAGTTGACACATATTTTGGGGGCACATAAGTCAATCCATGACAACTATTAACCATAGGGTTGGTGGTTCGAATCCACCTAGAAGCAACTCAAAAGAAAAACCTGGCAGTCTGCCTTCAAAATGTCAAAGCCCCGAAAACCCAAAGGGGCGAGTTCTGCTCCACCCACAGGGGTTCTGGTCTTAACTGTTTAAGCAAAAAAGTGAGGAATTAAAAAAGATCAGGAGGCCTATCCTGGTTCTGGCACTTGTTGTGTGACCTCAGGCAAGTCGCTGTCCCTTTCTGAGCCTCCAAGAATTGTAACCCCTAAGGGTTACAATCCCTGGGATTGGACACCTCCTAGCACAAGCATTCATAGGCCCTGACATTTTGATGGTCTACCTGTGATGCTCTGGTAGAAGACAAGGGTGGGGTATGGGCTGGAATGGGGAGGCAAAGGGCACCAACTTGACCATCATGCCTAATCCACCCTCCATCATGATGCTGTTCCCCTGGGAGCTCCAAAGGCACAGGCTTTGCTTTCACAATTTGGTCAAGTCTTCATCCTGAAACATTTCTTGGGTCATGTAGACACTTGCCCCGAGGTACCTGTGCCATAAAGTAGGTGTAACCCAGGCCCACTTTCTGTCCAACAGGACCGCGGATTTCAGCCTTGTAGGTAGCGCGTAGTGGTTACAAATCGGGCTGCGAACCACAAGGTCAGTAGTTCGAAACTACCAGCTGTTCCGCAGGAGAAAGATGAGGCTTTCTGCTCCCGTAAAGATTTACAGCCTCGGAAACCCGGTACAGGGTCACTATGAGTCAGAACCGAATCCACAGCACACAACAACAACAACAACAACTTATACTTGTAATCCATCTTTACTCAGCACCAAACATATTATCAAAGGTTATGTTTTTTAAGATATTTTGAAGATGAATTCTGCACTACTCTGCAATAATTGAAACAGATCAATGTAGCCCCAGGAAATGCAAGCTAGAAGCACTTCCTTTAAAGCTCTTCAGATAAAGAATAAAGGTGGATTTAAAACTGAGTTATACGCTAAATGGCTTTGATTTCTTACTGCACTACGCTCCTAGAGACACGTGGCCACGTCACCAAAGATAGTGTCCATTATGTAAACAGTTATGTTCCTGAAATATGTGTTGTTAGTCCTCACCACTGTGCCTGTGGTTATCATCATCCCAGTGAAGAATTAATTGTCCTTGTCATGCTAATGAGGCAGGATTCATATTTTGAGTCAGTCTCTTAAAAGATATAGAGGAGATTAACAAGCAAGCAAAGTATCTATGGAGTACGATAGATAACAAGACACACAGAGCTGTTCAAGGAACCAGGAAGCAGAAATCAACATGGACTTTCTCTCTAAACTAACTAAGAGAGCATGCCTTCCCCTATGGCTAGCACCCTGAATTCAGACTTCTAGCCTCCTCAACTTTGAGAACATAAACTTAAGTTTGTTAAAACCATCTACTCCTGGTGTTTCTATTTCACAGCCAAACTTTGTCTCTCATACTTCAGACATATTGTCAAGAGGGACCAGTCGCTGGAGAAGGATATCATGTTTGGGAAGGTGGAGGGTCAGAGAAAAAGAGGAAGACCCCCAACGAGATGGATTGGTCAATTGGCAGCATTGATGGACTCAAGCGTGGCAACAATAGTGAGGTTGGCCCAGGATCGGGCAGTGTTTCGTTCTGCTGTGCATAAGGTCGCTATGAGTCGGTACCTACTCGATGGCACCTAACAACAACAACAACAGCAGAACTAAGACATTGTTTTTAAAAGGCTAACTTTTACAGAAATCTTTTTTTTAAAAAAAGGAATTGTGTGACGTAATGCCCTTAGGTTGAAGTGATCCAAAGTGTTATGTGGAGGAGGGCTGAGGGTTTACACATCACAGTACCCTAAAGTTTTGGCTGAAACAAAATAAACCTTTCTTTTAAAAAAAAGTTTCTCACTTTTAAAACAAAGACTTATTTTAGGCATTATCAGTTATTACATAAACACCCCTTTAAAAAACAGAGACGTCCAACCATAAGTACAGTGCAAATCTAAAAACTGAAGTCAGGTAGAACCTGTTACCAATTGTAGGCAGAACCCTTTTCAAATACCTGTTCAGACCACCCGGTTTCTGCAGCACTGCCAAATTCTAAAACTGTAATGAAAATTTTAAAGTCCAATACCTACAGGCCTTCAGAGAGGTTTAGTAAGCCGATTGTGCCATTTCAAAATTGAAAATGTACTTGCATCAGCAAGTCACTGGGGCTAACCTTTCTGGACTAAGTCTGGCCTTCAGTTCAGAACATGGCTATGCCAGGGTCAGAATTGTGACAAAACTGCGCTTTCACGGAGGTTAGCCAAGGTTCACAGGGTCAGGACTGGGCCATTTTATCAGTCATGTCAGGCTCACACCCTATTGCCTGGGACAGATAAAAAACTTTATCTATCACTTGGCTAAATCTGCTCCTCCTGTCTTATTTTGAATAAAGAAACCTCCCCTCCCCAGCCTTATCTAAACCAGAGATGTGTTTTTCCCAATCCTGTTTTCATCTGTAACCTCTGAGTAAAGGTGACACAATGGTGATTTTTTTTTTCTTTTTTACCTTATTTTTGTCAATAACGGTCCATAACTAGAGTGATTGACTTTATCTTACCTAAAAGCAGCTAGCATAGGAGAACCATTTAGGTGTTATCCAACAACATGGATTCATTGTTAGGTGGACTGGAGTGTTATATTTGAATACAATACTTCTCAAAATGGCACCTTTTCAAATTCATCTTTCTCTAAAGTAAAACAAACAAAAATAAATCCATATAGAATGATCTTTTTGATCCATTTTCTAAATCGGGATTCTAAATGACCGCAGAAGAATCTACAGAGTCACCTTTGAAAATAGCTTAGCCTTCATGGTAAATAAACCCACATGGACATTTGGAAACCTAGTTAAATATACTAAGGACAAATATTAAACCGACACAGTTTCCCTGAGCGGAATCTTAAAGGCACAAAAGCGCCTTAGACATTTACTTTATTTGGAAATTATACAAATTCAATGATTTTACTATTTGAATACTGTAGTACTAGAGTAGAGACACATAAATATTATAATATACCTTTAGGCATTAAATACAATACCGTCACAGAGGACACTATATAAAAACTTATATATGTACACTTGCAATAAGTCTGAGGTTTGGACATTTATGCCGATCACATTTCACCCTGGAAATGGGTGAATCTTGCAGGGAGATTGTCCACAGGGTACACGGTGGGACTGGTTTTCATTGTAGGAGGTCCATTTAGAAGCTGCCAGTCACAATGCCTGGCCAGCTCCACTGTAAATATTTTGAGAAGAATTTTTGCAAACTCTTTGCCTACACAGCTCCTAAGGCCTCCTCCAAATGGAATAAAGCTGAACCTGGATGCATCTTCTGGGTGAGGCAACATGAATCGGTCAGGATTAAATTCCTCCTTATTGGTGAAGATATCTGCCACATCATGAGTATCACAGATACTGTAGATAACATTCCAGCCCTTGGGAATCTGGTATCCCTGCAAAAGATGATTAAATCCCAAGAGTTGACAAACTGGAATTTAACTTTCAACAACAAAAGGCTTTTAGGGACATCCTTTAGGGAATTAAGACACAGTGAGCTTCTGGTGGCTGAAACATGTGTCCACATGGGGTGAGACAATGTTATCAAAAGCATAAGGAATTTAAGTCAATGCACAGAGAAGCAAGGGGAGATCTAAAGCCATAACAAAAGAGAGGGTTGGGGGAGAGAAACTTGTAACTTACATTCAATTCAAAAGTCTTAAGAGCAACTCGAAACCCTCCTGGAACTGGGGGATTCAGTCGAAGGGTCTCCTTAATAACACACCCGGTGTATTTGAGCTGTTCCAACATTTCCATATCCAACTTGGTGTCTTGATTGCTTTTGCAAAGTAAACCCTATCAAAACAGTTGCACAGAGGTGAATGTGATTCTGTGCTCCAATAAAATCAACTCAGCAGAAGTAAACAGGGTTTAAGTGGTAATGAAACCCAAAGGGCCCCATGATGGAAGAGTGTGAGGGGGGAACCTTGAAGAGCCAGTGACCACTGGCCTTCATCCTTCTGCCCAAATCCATGAACTATTTACAATTCCAGGAGCATACTGCTTGCTAGCTAGAAGTGCCAAGAGTCTCCCCATCTCCACCACCCACAAGGATCAGAGCACCTTATCCATGCCCTTGGAGACATAAATTCTTGCCTTTGGAGACAAGAAAATGAAATTTCCAAGGTTCTGTAAAAGGGGGAATACAAGGTCCAACTCTGTTCAAGGCAGTAGGATCACAGTTCAAGATTCCTTCCTTCTTTACAAAGCAGATATTCTCTTCCTACCAGCCCTCTCATGCCTCTGTTGTTCAGGGAAGTCTAACTCTCAGCTATTTGGAAGTAGGCTTGGGAGCAGCTGAATTTCTTAAGCTCATGGAAAGCCTCCAGGGTCCACTTACCTTGCAGTTAAGTTCCTCTCGAACTCTCTGGAGAACATGTGGGTAGAGCCCCAGGTAAGTAATCAGAGACGTGGCAGCGCTGGCAGTGGTTTCATGCCCTCCAAAAAGGAGTTCGGTTGAAGATTGCTTTAGTTCCTGAGAATGGCATTTAAAAGAACGTTTTTATGGGAAGAATGAACCTCTGCCTGCAAATTCACAGAGTACTCAGAACCACCGGTCTGAGAGTTCCAGCAAGAGATTAAAAGGGCTAAATGTTGTGCAGGCAAAAAAACTCAAGAAAAGTACCGTCTTTCATACTCAAAAGGACAATTTCTTAGCTGGCAGAATTTAGCAAAATGCAAAGTCTCTTTAGTTCAGCTAAAACAGGAAGGCGATGAAGATCCCTTGAATTAAAGCTTTCGTTTTCTTAAAATTAGTTACACTTTGCAAATTCCAGCTTTGCCTTTGAAAACCAGGAGGGGAGGGGACGCTTCCGGTTCCCCTGTAGCCTCTTGTGGTAGTTCTCCTGACCCAGTGTCTCAACCTTCAGGGTCCCATTGCTGGGTCTACGCATTCAGCTCACTGAAGGAATCCGGGCCCTAAGAGGTTGCCTTGGGAATCCCAGGAACTGCCCTTGGAGAGTCTGCAGATCAAAGTCCGCAGTGCCTTTCCGGAGGCCACCACTCACCTGCATGTCCAGCCGCTCTCCTCTCTCCCATGAGTGTTCGATCAACAGCTGCAACGCGTCTTTGCAGCCCTCGACCGCCTCGACCGCTCGCAGCCGGCAGATCTTGGCCCGAATATTTTCCTCTATGCGCGCGTGGATGAGGTTCCGCGCCTTCATGCCCTAAGCGCAGAGAGCGCGCAATGGTGAGCAGACGCCCTGCTCCCACGCCCTCGCGCCTTTGCGCCCCTAGCTCCTCATAGGACATGCAACGCTTACCCGGTACAGCCCGCTGAAGGGTACGTCGATGGGTAGCGAGAAGAGGTTGCGAGTCATCTCCTCAAAGGCCTCCACCAGTTCCTGTTCTGCGTCCCCGCCGCTCGCCAGCCTAGGCTCGCAGCCCAGCAGAATGCGCATGGCAATGCGGAACATGAGTCGCTTCACCTCGGGATACACTAGGAGGCCGCGCTCACCGCTGCTCAGCCAATGCTCCAGGGAGTTATTTATTTCTTCCGTGATCACTGGCACGTAGCACTGGAGCGCCTCGCGGCTAAAGGCTCGCATTATCACCTGAGCCCAGAGGAAAGAAAATAATTTATAATAATAATAAAACAAACTAGACCTCTGTCGTCCCTCTCCCAAACACCCCTAGCCCCGCCAGACGCTAGGCGAGTCGCGTCCGAGAAAACTAGAATTTGGACAGTCCTAGCCAACGTCCCACGTAGCACGCGCTCGCCTAACATCTTTTCGGGAATGGGGACTCCCTGCCTGTCCAGGCGGCTGCCGCCTCCGCTCTCACCTTTTTGCGTTGCTTGTGCGAGGAGTCGTGCAGGTTGGAAAGGCAGCCGGAGCCCAGGATGGTGCGCACCGACGCGGGCCAGTGGACTGACACTAGCCGGTGCTCCCCGAGTAAAATGCGCCGCACGTTGTCCGCGCCCATCACCCGTACTGTGGGCCGACCGAACAAATGAGTCTTGTAAATGAAACCGTATTTCCTGCGCTTCATCTGCAGGAATTTCCTCCTCTGCGAGAAGAAGGCGGAGAAGAGAGGCGGGCGTGAGGGGACGCCGGGGGGCGCCGGGGAGCGCCGTCTCGGGCTAACAGTGCTCGTAGCCTCCTTCCTAGGATCGCCTACTCGGGCTTCAGGGGAAGCTGGGAGTCGAGTCGGGTTCCGGGGAAGCGTCCTGACCCGCCCCCAAGCTCCCTTACCTGCAGCACCATCTGCAGTGTTTCCCCAAAGAAGGGAAAGCCCATAGTCCCAGGAGGCAGAGGGAGGGAGCAGCTGCGGTCGCGGCTGCTCACGCAGTACAGGTCCCAGAGTTTTATCGCAGCCAGGAAGAGCAGCAGCGGTAGCAAGAAGGTGCAGAGCGCGCTGGCCAGCAGCGCAGGGAACCCCATGGCCCGCAGCACCTACCCGTCCCACCTGCCGCCGCCAACCCCGCAGCGCGCCCGCTTTATAAATGGCCCAGGTTGCTGACCACGTTACCTTGGTCAGACAAATTAGTTCACCCAAAGTTCATCTTTAATTGCGGATTGGGCCCCTGGCTCCTCCCCCCGCGTGTCGCTGCCCAAAATCTTTAACCGTTTGTTTTGCGCCCAGGCAGAGGCGGCGGCGCGGCGGCGGCTTTCCTCAGTGCGCGCCTCCTGGGGTGTGGGGCTATGAGCTGTCTCACCCATCCAAGGTACGAGAAGCTCTAGACCGGCACTGTCGTCTTGAGTTCCGGGGAGTGGGAACTCCTAGCCTTGGCCTTTCCCGGCGGTCTCTGGAAGTCCTCCCGCCAGGTTCGACGGGCGTCCCAGGCAGGTCTTTGTCTTACAGGTATTGTGTGGGCTCCTTTCCACCTACTGGGAAAGTGCATTCAGGGATTGTCCAGCTGTCTCACTCTACAGGTGGGAAAACTGAAGTCCAGAAAATCGAGCAGAAAGCATGCTTCCCCGACTCTTCAAAGGATCCCACAGAGGTGACCAGAGCCACGACCCAACGGGGAACCGCAAGGAGTCCGACTTGGCAGCATGTAGTGGATCCCAGTTCGGAAAGGACCGTATTCATGACGTCCTGGAATAAACATCCTACTTAAGTTTTCAAGAGACACTCCAGGTCCCTGAGGATTCTAGGTGTGCCCAACCCTAACTCCCTAGTGACGCATGGCAGGGACGTTTCATCCGCGGCTCTGCATTCAGGCTGACCTTCCTTAGTAGGCAGCCTGATACAGGGCCCTTAGCCCTGACAGGAGATGGAAAGCTCCGAGTGAGTCCCAGCTCTGTCTGTACTTGGGTGACCTGGGACGATGGTTCCTGGTCTGTTTACACGTTTGGGTAGTTGTGAATTCCCCAAAGGGTCCTCTGGTTGCAAATACTCTTCCGGTTCCAGGCACCCTAGGATTCCTTACCCTGGCGGCTTGGACGCCAGCCCACTGGAGTCTTCCTTGGCTCTCCAGTTCAGATCCAGCTCAAAGCCAGTGCCCCCACCCAGCGAGGAGAAGTGTTCGGCCCTCAACCCAGACCTCGGCACACAATTAAAGAAAGGGAGGTTTGGGGGAATCCCTACTCAGATGTGGGTCTCCTGGCCTTTGCCCAATCATAATCAACTGCAGCTGCAGCCAATGCCTGGAGCCCTGGCACTGCGGGATGCACACGTGCCTTAGTGGAACCACAGGACTTTGAAGCAGTAAGGACTACATGCTCCCCTAGATTGGTCACTGAACGCACTAGTGGCGCAGCGCCTAAAACAAAAGTGTGTACATTTGTTTAAAAGTGACCACTAGTCTGGCAGGAGCCGCCACGTGCCTTGAAAAGCATCATTTAGCAATAGAAAACTCTTTGACCCTGAGAGTCCTTAAAGTGTTGGCAATCTCCCAGTGGGTAGGGTAGAGAAATGTCTGCGTAGGTTATACCGACCCCACAAAGTCCGGAACGTAATCACCAGGGCGTGTTTCGGAGGCTCTGTGGAGGGGTCTCTCCCACTGTCGTTTCCTAACGATTTGGCTAGTGCGAGCCAACCCCCGGTCACACCAGCAGGAACCGGGCGAGTAGCGCCAGAGGTAATTCTCAGAAATTCCGGACCCGCCCCTTTCTGGACAGTGCCTCTGACCGGTGAGCAAAGCTGGTGAGCGGAGGCGTGACCTGGGGCCCATTCCCAATCCTGGGGCCTGACCTGCCTGTGACCTCTGCAGACCGGACCGTGACATCCGAGTGAACTCTGCTAGGCCACCTCGCCAAGTTCAGCCCGCGCCGGGTCACAAGATGAGCTGGGCCTGCTTGTGACAATAGGAAGAGAGAGATGGCCCATCGAGATCGGCGGGGTTGTCGGCAGGAAAGAATTAAATGGTAATGAGTGAAAGAGATCATTAAAGAACATCGTGTAGAGGAGAGGGTGCCAATAAATTACCAACCCAATAAGAACTGTGATCTAGGAACCCAGCCAAACTTTCTTGGGTGGTGGTGGTCCTGAAGGAGTTTCCTTCGCCGGAAAACAAAACGTTTCCAAATGTTTACAATACAGTGAGGTATTGCTAAGGGTTAGGGGGAGAGTAACTTTTTCCTTGGGGAGTGAGGTTGAGGACCCAAAGAGGAGAGGCATCAGAGCAGCTGCAGATTCCCTTCGCCAAGTTTCTGCCTTCAACCTCCTTCCTAGCTCTTGAACACACTAATTTCTGCCTCAGGGTTTCTATACCTGCTGTTCCCTCTGCTTGGGATGTCCCTTCTCCAGGTCACTTAGGCTGGTTCTTTTCAAAGTTGAATGTCACCTCCTCAGAGAAGCCTTCCTGGCCCACCCAATGGAGTTCAGTTCCCAGGTACTTTGCATTACATGCCTGTTGTATCGTCTTTGTAACACTCATCAATGCCTGATACATGCTTGCTCTTTTATTTGTCAACCTTCCATCAATACCTCAATTACAGGAAAGCAAGAAACACGTCTGGGAGCTAAAGCTTTAGGGTATTACTGAACATGATGTATCAAGGAAAGTTAAAGTTCCTATAGGGGTTTACAGTTAGTCCAGAGGTCAGAGCAGGTAAACCAGGTCTGCTGGATTTCTGAAAGCTTCCTCCCGACCTCCAAATCATAATCAACTCAAAGGCCTGGTGCTTCCTCGGCCTCGCCATCAACTCAGAGGCCTCAGGAGCGCCCTGAGGGCAGGCCAAAATCTTGCCCATTTTTGCCGCCTCTGGCGCCCACCTAGTTCAGGGCCTGGCGCCAACCTGTGGGCGGTTGTAGGTGATGAATTGCCCTGGAAGGGGGTTACCGCGGTGTCAGCTGAGCTCGGAAGGACCCGCTGCGCTCTTGAGCCATCGACCCTGCGCGCACGCCTGCTGCGTCCCCCCTTCCTTCTGGCCCCGGGATCCACCTTAAGCATAAGGTCAGGAGGGCACCGGCTTCCTTCTGGTTCACTAAGGGGTCAGCTCGGGCCTGGGCGGCAACTTTCCTGGCTCACCCGTCATGACCAGCAGCCTAGGCCTGTCGGAGGATGGGTGGCAGGTTCCAAGTGGGCTGCTGGGAATGTCTTGAAGACATTGATTTAAACATGAAGGCTTTGATTTAAACACCGGTAGGCGCGTCATTGGAGTCCTAGTGTGGCGCTGTGTGTTAATTCGCTGGACTGCAAAGTCGTTTGAACTGCAAGGGCAGTGGTTCAAGCTCACCATCCGTTCCTTGGAAACCCTATACAGAGTCGCTATGGGTCGGAACCGACTCGACGGCACTTAACAACAACAGGCACCACAGAGTTAGAAAAGCCCAGAGGGAGCCCTTAAGCCAAGTTAAGGATCATTGTGAAAGGAGGAAAGGACTCATGTCCAACATGGTGACCACAAGTAGGAGACTAGGGCTGGGGTAACTAATGGGGTGGGGTAGAGCACAAGTGGGAGACTAGGGCTGGGGTAACTAATGGGGTGGGGTAGAGCACGGGCCATGCAGTCTCCACGAACCAGAGCCTATTGCTGTCTCCTCAAGCGAGTCATTTGCCTCGTTTGCTCCTCAGTTTCTCCTCTCAACATAAAGGAGATTGAGGCAGAAATCCAGAAGTTTCTGTAGCCAGGTATCCCGGAGATAATTCCCCTCCCAGCGTTTGGCCTCAGTCCTGTCTGGACAGACGTTGGGGTAGGTCCTTCCAGATCTCTCCCAACCTCCACTCAGCACCTTTCCAGGGAGTAAGTGCCAAGCTAAGCCTCTAGCCTTCTTCCTCAACCTTTCCAAAAAACTTTATTTCTTGGCCTTCCTGTTTTTAGTTTACCCCAAACTTCTTTGATAATGTCTCAGTCTCCATGAAAACAATCCATTTTTAGAGACTTCTTGGTGTGTCTGATCTCTGCAGTATAAATGGGAAGATAAAGCGCTTTCTTGAAGTCGGAATTTTGCTTTTAAGAAGTCGTAGGCAGAATCCGTTGGTGCGGAGCTGTTGAGAGCCCTGGAAGCTCCCCGCAGTTCTGGGTTTCCGCACAGACCAGCAGCAGTGGCCGGAGCGCAAGAACCCAGATGCCAGCTACCTGCAGGTTTATCTTTAGGCGTCCTCTCCGTTAGTCTTCCAAAGACAGACTCAAAGTTAGGAGAGGGTCACGCTCCAGGAGTTCCTGCTTCCCCAAAGGGCTTCTGGCACCATCTATGAGATTCATAGCGCCCAGGATCCCTTCTGGGACTGGCCCCAGAAGGTGAGACCTGGAAAGTTCTTAGTGAAAACATGTTCCCGCCTTTGCTATTTCGAGGTCCTGAGACCGGCTCAAAAGGCTTGACTCCTGACTTTTCATTCTTAAGGGCGTGGAGCGCAGGAGGCACCTTCGCATAGGCCTGGGTGCTTCTCCTGTGCGGTGGCTGTGGCTGTGGCTCACAGCTAGCTCCCACTCCACCTCCTTCAGAGTTCAGCACAGAGACGCATTTGCTGAACGTGTGTTGAACCAATCACTGAGTGAGTAGCCGGACGACCCAGCACTAGGAGGTCACAGATGGTCTGATCTGCTTGCGTGCCGCAGCCACTGAGCCAAGCCGTGTCCTGCAGTGCTGCGCGTCAGGATCGTGGCCCGTCTGGCGTAGTCGAAGGCGCGAGAGGGTGGAAAAAAAGCTGCAGCCCGTCCACTGGGTGCACAATGGGCACGGTCTGCATAGCGGGGAAGGCGGGCGTGGCCAGCTCCCAACGCGCTGTGCGCACCAGCTCCACAGCGAGTAGCTGGAGCATCGCCTGCGCCAGCTCCTGGCCAAGGCAGCTACGCGCACCTCCGCCGAACGGGATGTAATGGAAGCGGCCTACTGCTCCTCGCGCTTCGTCGCACGCCGAGCTGAAGCGCTCTGGGTCGAAGCCCTCAGGTGGGCTGCAGTACACCGCGGCCGTCTCGTGCGTATCCCGGATGCTATACATGACGCTCCAACCTTTGGGGATCTGGTAACCCTGCGGGGAGGTGAGGAGACGGGACTGACCAGGAGGCCCTTGTAAAGGCAGCAGAGCCGACCCTCTACTCCCCAGCTGCATCAAGTAAATTTACTAAAACCGCAGGAATGCACTACTAATCTGGAAACCAGGAGGACGCTTTGCGTTCCAATCTATAGTTAGCTGTGTGACCTCGGGCTGTTACAGTGCGAAGGAGTAGGTTCCACTCATAGCGATCCTGTATAGGGTGCCGAGGAGCGCCTAGTGGGTTAGCAGTTCAGTGCTTATCCTACAGCGCCACACAGGATCTTGGACTAGATACTCTGAGTCTCAGTTTCATAACTGATAAAAATAAGAATTAAAATGCCCACATGTTTTTGGATGGGAGCTATTGTTATTTATGTCCCTGTGTTTTCTTTTTGTCTTTTTAAATTTTTTCTTACATTAGCTCAGGAGACCTAAATTCTCATCTGTTGTTGTTAGATGCCATCCATCCAGTAGGTTCCAACTCATGGCTGCTCAACCTAACCGGAATCAAACGGCCCACTCTTGCAGCCACTAGATCAATCCAACTCATTAAGGGTCTTTCTGTTTTTCCTACTTAAATTCTAGTCCTAGTGCCTACTTGGGAACAGCAGAAATGACAGGGACCCCAATTCCTCTTTGGTCAGCTCTTCTTCACACACACACATTGAATTGAAAATTCCCTCCCACCATAAAATCAAAAATCCCCCAAACCTGTTTCCATCCTGTGGGTGCCAACTCATGGCCACCGGATGTGTTCTGTGGAGTAGAACTTGGGTGTAATCTTTTTGAAAGCAGATCACCAGAGCTTTTTTTCAGGGTGCCACTGTGTGGGTTTAAACTGCCAACCTTGAGGTTTGTGCCATCCAGAGACCTTCCCATCCACTAACTGTCCAATAATGTTCAGATCTGGTAGCCACGTTTTTAGAAAGTCCATATGAGAATGAAACTGGGGAGTCCTTAAAATTTTGGAAGGCAATTTTCATGTTCCTTCTTTTTCTCCCAGCTTTAAAAACCATCCCCCCTTTAGATTTAACTTCAAATTCCCTGACTATCCTACTATCCTCTCCTCAACTGTATTCCATGTGTTTAGTCTGAGTCTCTCAAGAGTTGGACAGAACATTTTGGAATCACTCAAGGAACACTCTCTTCTCTGGACTTCAGTTTTCCCATCTGTAAAGTGGAAGTGGCTAAACCCTTGTTTTGCCCCCAACGCCTATCTCAGTGGTGGGAGGTCTTCTCCCCATTTCCCACTCCAGTGCAGAAGTCTGAGCTCCTAGATACTGAACCCAAGACACTCTGAAACACCTCACAGATCTTCCTACTTTTGACTGGGCTGCTCCCCTCTCTCTGGGACATTGTTCCCATCTCAACACTTCACTGCCCCAGTTCAAATTTCAGCTCTCAAAATGTCCTGCCCTACAGCAGGGCTGCGAACCTTAAGGTCAGCGGTTCGAAACTACCAGCCGCTACGCGGGAGAAAGATGAGGCTTTCTACTCCCGTAAGGATTTACACCCTCGGAAACCCTGTACAGGGTCGCTATGGGTCGGACCCGACTCGATGGCACTTAACAACAACAACAACAACAGCAGTTTGGGATGAAGCCTTGAGCCAGTGAGTTTACATTCTCTCTCTCCCACCTATCTGATCAGATCACTAATAAAATGTACTCCTTATTTTAACTGCGTGTTTCCCTAGAATCTGGCCTCAGAGGGTCCTGCAAAGGTAACGGTTGGGGTTGGTTTCTTGATCTTGTGAGGGGACCTGCGGGATGGAGTAGGGCCTATTTTGGGGGATCTCTTTTTCCCCACCCAGATGCACTAGCTGTGTGTGTGTTGGGGAAGGGCCGGTTTGCTAGGAGAAAGTATGTTTTTATTCTTAAGCACAGCTCTAATTAAATTGACAGCCCGGGCCTCTCCAAAAAGGTCCTTAATCCTGCCCGTTTTCTAGCCCCCAGGCTTCACATCCTGCCACCTGGGACTCAAGGAGGTGGAGCAGGGTTCGGACCCACTCCACAGGCGGGAAAGCCCAGACTCTGAGACAGGAGGGGAAGAGATTAGGCGGCCTGAGCAGAGCGCACTTACATCGAGCTCGAAGGTGCGCAGTGCCGTGCGGTAGCCCCCCGACACAGGCGGCAGGAGGCGCAGCACCTCCTTGACCACGCAGTCGATGTACCGCAGACGGCCCAGAGCGGCGAGGCTGAGGTCCGGCTCGCAGACGCAGTCCGACCCGAGCCCTGCATCGCCCCCTGCAGATCCTGGCTCGCAGTGGCATGCGCGCTCCAGTCCCTGTGCCGCCAGCTCCTGTCGGATCTTGGCGAGGGCCGCCGGGTGCTGCAGTAGCAGCAGAACGAGGGACGTGCTGGCACTAGCCGTTGTGAAGAAGGCGGCGAAGAGTAGTTCCACAGCCGACTCCTGAAAGACATTCTGGAGGCGCTCAGACTCTGTCCGCAGAGTCACGTGGGGCCCAGAACTGACTGCCCCTAAAGGTAGCTCAAAGAGCTCAACCTTTACCTACTAATGGGCAAAGGCAGGAGAACTGGGTCTATCAAGGTGGCTACCAGTAGACTGGGGGAGCGTGGTGGCTCCATAGGCTAAGCATTGCACTGCAAACCACGGAATTGACAGTTTGAGCCCCACCAATCGCTCTATGGGAGTAAAGAAAGCTGTCTGCTCCCGCCAAGATTTTAAAAAGCCTCAGAGACCCTATACAGCGTCGCTATGAGTCAGAACCGACTCGAATACTGGGCAACATCCCACTTGTCTTAGGAGGATTTGGAAAGATAATGAGAGGAACTTATTCTGTGCATGAATCTTAAAGCCACCATGTCATATCTACCCCTTACAGGACAAAGAACTGCTCCTTAGAACTTCTGGGAGCAGACAGTTTTCCCCTGACTTTATAGTGCTCTAAATATATTCACATGTTCAAATCTCACCTGAACCCTGAGGCATGGGATGGTTGTCACATGCTCAAGAGCCCTACAGCTGATCTTTCCAGAAACCAGGCTGGGAAGACCAGTGCCCTTAATCCACGGGGTTGGTATCTCCAACCTGAGGGACAGACAAGGACAGAGGCAGTCCTGCACCAAAGCAAACATCTTGGCATCAGGCTTCCAGGAATGGTCTCAGTGAGCCACTAAGCCTCTTTCTCATGGTCACTGCTCAGGAAGGACAGAGGAGGGTCCTGGTGGCTTCTATCCTTCAAACCTCAACCTTCACTCCCTGCCTTTGTCCTCCCTGGAAAGAATGTGTGGTCCTAGAAAGAATGTGTATCTCTCCTCCCTGCACCTCAAGGGTAGGGGCTGTGTCCTGCTCATGGTGGTATCCTCAGGCCCAACATGGAGCCTAGCACCAAATAGGTACATAATAAACATTAGTAGAATGAATGTTCTGTCCTGGATAAGATGGAGAGTTAGAACAGATACCTCAGGGCTCCAACATCTTCTTAGCTTGCCTAGGACATTCAAGCCCAAATGGAAGATCCCTTCCTTAAAACCTAGAGGGTACTGGCACAGGTCACTCCCTCCCCAGCCCTGCCAAAACAAAGGGACTATCCAATTCCTTTCATATCACTTCCCTCCCAACTCAAGAGCTATTTCAATCCACCCACTTTGACTAGGTGTCAGGATAGAGATGATTAGCCCATTCTCAGAGGGGTAACTAAGGCTGAGCCCCACTCTTTCAGTGGTTGATGGTTGGGAAAGGGAGAGGCCCAGAGAAAGGATAGGAGTTGGGGAGTTGCTTCAGGAAGGTTTGGAGTCTTTCCATTTCTAATTTTCCCCGGATCCCTCAACCTCTCTTCTCTTTTGGAGGTTCCCAAGCACAACCCAGGGGCCACACAAAAGCTCCCTTCCTTCCTCCCTTCCTACATGTGTTCTGTCTACATAACTACAAGTTGTCACTGAACTGATTAGAGCTTATAGTGTCAGAGAAGAATCGTGCTCCCTAGGGTTTTAATGGCTAGTTTTGGGGAAATTGCCAGACCTTTCTTCTTCAGCACCTCTGGGTACACTCAAACCATTAACCTTTTGGTTAGTAGCTAAGCACATTAAACATTTGTACCACAGAGGGCAATTCTGCAGTGGCAAAACAGTCCCACAGAGGTTCTTGGCATTAACAAAAACCAGATGTCAAGGTGGCTCACAGACAAAAGAGTTTTGGCTTGAGGGGAGAACTTCCAGGAGGATGTAGAGTTTGACCCTGAGCCCCTTAGAGAGGAAAGAGTGACGAGGCTTCACAGTTAAGGAAACAGCAGAGTGAGTGACAGAGAAGTGGGGAGAGGGGGGGCAGGCAGGATTTTTATGGCCAGAATGGGTCATTCTAGAATTTGGACTTCAACAGTTCCACTGAGGGGCCTAGAGAAGGGCATGGCTGGCCTAAAGCCACACAGCTAGTGTGTGTAGCTGAGCCAAGACTGGAATCCAGGTCTCCTTTTTCTGCTTATCCAGAGGAGTACCTGTGGCTCAGAGTGGGGCCAAACAGAATGTAGCTCTGAGGCAGCAGAATATGTGCAGAGACCCACTAGAAAGGCAGATGAAAGGAGAAAGGCCTCCTTCCCTCCCTCCCACCACCTACCTTCAGTTCCTGCACCGAGGGCTCATGACCAAGTTCCCTGGCGCTGTGGACAATAAGAGCCAGGGCATCACCTAGCTCCTCTGCCTTGCCCTCACGAAGCTTTTCTGCAATGGCCTCTTCCAGATGCTGATGCAGCTGGTCCCGAGCTCGGATGCCCTGATGGGCAGGAAGAGAAGGAAGGTGGAGCAGGGGCCCAGGTTTGGGTATCTACCCAAAGAGATTTCCAGAGCTGTGCTGGCTTTACCAAAGTCCTCATGTTAATACTCTTCCAGCCAAGTTTTGTGGCTGGCATTTATTGTTGCTGTGTGCTGTTGAGTTGTTCCCAACTCACAGAGACCATATATAAAGTTTCTGAGAGCAGCTGGTGTGTTTGAACTTCCAGTCTTCCAGTCCAGTGTTTATCATTTAGTATACCCTAAGATTAGCCTCTGAATAGGGGTGTGGGCAAGAAGTTTAGAGAGAAAGCACAAGCAAAAGCAAGACCACATCAAATGGGAAGCAGAGTAGTTTAAACACATGAGTTTTGGAACCAGAGGAGATCTGGGTTCAAATCTTGGTTTTGCTTCCTAACCCCTTTGATCTTGGGTAAGTAATTTAACCACTCTGAGATTCAGTTTCTTCATAAAATAAACAAACAAACCCACCGGGAACTGTAACCCTGCATTGAATTAGATCATGTAGCCAAGATGATTCGCCCATAGCATGCTCCTTTATAACGTGGTAATAGTGTGCCCTGAAGTCAGTTCTGACTCACAGCGACTCTATAGGGATTCAGAGGCTGTATATCTTTAAGGGATTAGAAAGCCTCATCTTTCTTGCATAGAAACGCTGGTAGTTTTGAACTGCTGACCATGAAATTAGCAGCCCGACTAGTAACCACTGTGCAACCAGAGCTCCTTGCCCCTTTATATACACCTGTTATTTTTATTCAGGTGACTGAAAACCAAGGAATCAGCACAGTGAGAAGCCTCAGATCTGGGGCAAAGGGAGGGCCTGATGGGGCCTTCTAGTTGCTTTCTGAAGTCTAAGAGACTGCTGCTCTCTGATCTGGAAACTAGCGGCCCAAGCCTCAGACTGGGAGTCCGCACCCACCTTTCTCCAAACCCTGGCTGGCGCCGGCTAGGCCAAAGACATGTCTGTGGCCCTCTCTCCCGCCAGTTCTGCAACCACTGTGGCTTCTGAAGAGGCGCGGGAGGCCGGGGCGCTTTCGGGAAAGGGCCTAAATGACTGGCTAGGCGCCCGGCACCGAAACCCAATTTCTATAAGACCGCAGCAGGTAGGACTGGAGCGCATCGGCAGGCACGGCCCAGAGAAGGTGTGTAGCCAACCTTGTGTCACACAGCGAGTCAGGGCAGCTGCCAGCACTAGCGCCCACTGCCACAATACGTCTCCTCCCCACCCTGCACCAAGTCTTCATCCCCCAGCACAGGCAGTGTATAGAAGGCACCTAGAGGGTCCCATTTCTGTCCAGGACACCCATCAGCGCCTCAAAGCCTCCAAGGGAAGACCAGGGGCCGCAACTACTGCCTCTTCCAATGCAGGCGGCGGTACCTTGCGCAGGCCGCTGAAGGGTACATCCAGGGGCAAAGAGAAGAGATTCTCCACCAGCTGCTCAAAAGTGCGGGCCAGCTCCGCACACTGTGCCTCATCCAGACGCAGACCCAGTAGGATGCTCGCGGCCATACGAAAGGTGAGCATCTTGGCTGCCTGATAGACAGCAATAGGCCCAGGGGCTGCGCACCAGGAGCGCACCTCGCGCCGCAGCGCCCCCTGCAGGCGTGGCACGTAGCGCTCCAGCGCTGAGCGGCTGAACGCGTGCGCCAGGACCTGTGGAGAGGGCGAGGGTTCAGTGGTGGCTACAACGGGGCCTCGGCTGCTCTGCCATCCCGAAGGAGCCAGAAAGCCAATTCGATGCCTTCCTCCCCTTTAAGGGGACCTAAACTCATTAGCCCTTACTCAGCCATTCCCTCTAGTTCTCCTCTGATGGACAAGGCCATCCATGCCCCTGCACGAAGTCTTCCTTATCAGCTCTGAGCTTCTCTTGTCTCTGGCATCCCAGTCACAGTAGGTCAGAGCCGGAAGGACTCTTTAGTCTCAGTCCTGGCCTTATAAACCAAAGCCAGAAAGGGTAAGGGACTAGCTCAAGGTCAGTTAACCAAGGGTCGCAGCAAGGTTGACAGTGTACCCCCAACACCTGGCCCTAACCGAGTCTACAGCAGGTCCCGGAACCTCAAGTTTGACGTCTCCACTGCCCCTTCTTTGGCTTCAGCTCACCTTGCGCCGCCTCCGGTGTGGCTCCCCAACCGACCCCAGCAGTGTGTGCGAGCCCAGCAGGATGTGTGCGCTCTGTGGCCACTGGTTGCACACCAGGCGGTGTTCACCCAACAGGATGGTGCGCACGTTCTCCGCACCACTGACACGGATCACCGGCTTGCCCAGCAGGTGTGTCTTGAACACCATCCCGTAGCGCTCCCGGCGGGAGCTGTGGAAGCGTGAGCCCTGGGAGGCGGAACAAGCCAGGCTGGGCAGGGGGCCTCTACTAGGGATCAATGACCCACACCTCCCAACTTTTTTAGGTAACTCTCTGCTCCAGGTTGGCACGTTACTGTTTACAAAGGACTTGAAGCGGGGTCCCTGTGAAAAATGTATGTAGACACTTCTATCTTCCATTAGGGAAATGAGGAAATCAAAACTTGGAATGGGACCTTGGGTGCCCAAAAGTTCATGGCTGGGATGCACTCCTGGCTCCTGATTCTATGCTTGCAAGACATAGAGCACAGATGTCCACAAGACCTCATCTGTCCACTCCCACGTTGTCAGGGCGAGTTTAAGTGGCACTGAAAGGATTCTGGTTACATGCAGTCTCCAGGTCCCTCAAGAGAGCTGGGTGGTGGGGCAGGCAGCTGCATAAAGGCGAGGGCTGTGCTGCGTTCTCTGAGGCTCTGGCTACCTACATAGTTGGCTACAGGACTCTTACAGCATCCACAAGAGCCTAGCGGGAGCAGGGGAAGAGGAGCCAGATAGATGGAGCAGAGAACAACGAACTGCTCACCTGAACTAACCAGTGCAGAGTTTCACCGAGGAAGGGCCAGCCCATGGAGCCCTTCGGCAGGGGCAGGGCACAGGCCCGGTCTCGGCTCAGCATCCAGCGAAGGGTCCAGAGGTGCTGGGCTAGGATGAGCAGTAGGCCAGCGCATAGGAGAGCAGTGCCCACCGCCCCAAGCACGGACAGACAGCTCAGTCCCCAAGGGAACATCGCGAACCTATAGGCACCAGGCTGCTTTGAGTGAGAGGGTAAGCTCTGGGGCACCCACCACATGAAGGGCTCACCTGTTCTGTCGGGAAGAGCCTGGGGCTTGGGGGCCAAGACAAGGAGGATTCTGCTCTACCAGTGGACTGGCTGGAAGTAACAGTGGCCGGTGACTCCTTAAAGAAATCACCTCCTTCAAGGCTGGCAATGCCCAGAGTTGGGTTGCTCCAGGGTCAAAATGCCAGTCCCTGGAAGGGGTGCCGGCTGCCTGTAGATCGCTCACCCTGGTCACCCGGTAGACCACCTCCTTCTCCAAGCTTTAGCCCTTTAAAATGCCCCCACTCTCTGTATAGAAGCAGAGAGGGAGGGCAAAGGGGAGCAACTCTCAGGCGCTGCCCACCTGGGTTGCAAACCTTCCACTGGGACCGCAGACCCCCACCCCACCTCCCTATCTCCTTCAGTCCTTTAACCGTTCTTGGCCCACCCTGGGCACATTTATATAGATATTGGCCCCCTCTGGCTGCACCGATCCCGGTTCACCCAACATGACGTGACTATGCATATTTAAAGCACTCCCTCCAGAGTCTTGATTGGAGGCGATGGCAGCTGCAGCAGTAGCAGCAGCAGCACATTCACCAAGGGGCTTTGGATAGGGAGTGGCCACCGCTGAGGCGTTCCGGCTGGGCGGGAGTAAGGGTGTGTGTGTGGGGGAAGGGGGGTGGACTCGAGGAGAGAGCCCGGCCAGATCCTCCTCCGGGTCTGGGGTTTCGCGCCAGAACTTCCCGGCTCTCTGCGGGAGCGCTGTGGGTGGATGACCTAGCAGATGAGGGATTGTGCCCCAGCCCCACCGTGCTCTAGGGCCGCCTCCCACCCCCACTCCCCACCCCTACTCCGGCTCTCTCTGGGAGCTGAGGTGCCCTCCCTCTGCTGCCACAAGGTTAACTGGATGGAGTTTTTCTACCTGCTGTTCCGCAGGAGAAAGATAAGGCTTTCTGCTCCCTTAAGGATTTACAGCCTCGGAAACCCTTTACAGGGTCGCTATGAGTCAGAAACACACATAACAACAACAACAACAGTCCAGTCCAGATTATCTGACATCCACCGTCCCTCTTCCCTGGTCCATCTCTGATCTACCACTTTGGGAATCCTTCAAAAGACTGTAGATACACAGCTGTCCAAAGCTTCACACAGACACCTCATGTGCATGAGGAGCAGAAATGCTGGGGAGCAAATCCGGTTTCAGGATCAGAATTCAGCATTCCCTCCTTCCCTCTTTACCTCCCTCTCAGGAACCTGCAGGGAAAACCCTCCTCAACTTACAAGACTGCATCTTGGGAGTTTCTGTGTAATACACAAGGGCTCCTAATGCCTTAGAGCTGGGAGCATCCTCATCGCTACAGAGAAACCTGGAAGGTGGAAGGAAGCCTAGTGTCTGAACTACTGGGAAAAGCAAAGCGAACTCCTCCAGGCCACCACAGCTGAGGCCCTGCAGTGTCCCGCTCCTGGTTGTACAAAGGCAGTGTCTCTTCCATTCAGCCAAAGCCAGAGGTACCAGATGCCCTGGAGGGCTGGGTAAAGCATGGGAGAGAGACAGGTAGTCACATTCCACAATCTTCAAAGAGCGTTTCTCTCTTAACCTCCAGATTTTATTGCGCCTGAAGAATTACCAGGTTTTCATGTAATTTATATATATATAGTGAAATACTTTATGGTAAAAAAAAAACAACAACAACAAAGAAACTTTATGGTCAAGAGAACAAATGCTGTTTTTTTCTGTTGTTTGGTGCAAATGCCATTCCAATCACTAATTTTCGTCATTTTGTTATAGCAGTCTTTTGACACACAAGCAGTTGTTTGAAATCAGGAAGCTCTAAATAGACACAACAGAATGAAATTCCAACAACTTGCTCAATCTTTTTTAATATTTCATCACAGAACCAAGAAATGTACATATAATTCTTTATAGTTATTATACAGAGTCAAGTATGTTTTTTTTAGAGCCATAAAGCTGGAAAATGCCAAGGGAGTAAGCATAAATACAGCCAAGAGAAAATAAGCATCAGATTGATAGTGCTCAATTTGTTCCCCAGTAACTTACACAAAGGAAAGTGTACATTTGTTTTAGGTTCTCAAGGGTGCATTCGGCTTGGCTTGTTTCCACAGTGAGGATGCTAGTAGAATAAAGTAATCTGACCCCTGTGGTAATGTCTGTGTGTAGGGACTTATCTACCTTAGACAGGCTGCACCTGAAGTGGCTTGCCCCAGTTAACACTGGTCCTCTCTTTTACGCTGAACGAAACCAATCCTAGAATGGGTTAGCTACAAACAATACAGTCAGAATATTAACCCTGAGGAACAGAAACAACACTGCATCTTTAGAAAATCCAAACCTCCTTTCTTCATATTCAGAAAGACTAAATTAACCCATGCATGTGGGTTCTTACTGAATCAATACATGTTTGATTTTTGAGAGCTTTAAAAATGTGTCTGTTTCTCTATTAGAATCAGAGAAACTAGAAATGTTAGTTACCTAAATCATATTCTCAAGTGAAAATAAAAGCTGAAAGTCAGCAAAGGGCAGAGACTTTCTCCTATATCAGACAATAGCTGCATTCCAAAGCCAAACACGTATGAAAAAACATATTTCAAATCTAAAAAGAAAAACAAAGCAACCAAGGCACAACTTAAAAGCAGAGGCACATCGTTTTCTAATATATTTACAACCAATTTCATATATAATTTTTGACTTGACTTATATATTAATTTTGCCATTTTCCCCTAAAAGTGAAAAAATTATCACATTATATATATAAAATAGTATTTAATTATTTAAAAATCCATACAAATGATATTTATTACTGTTTCTTGTGTATGCCCTCCTCAGTATCTTTTCTCTATGGTATTTTTGAATTCTACAAACAAACTTCTGCATCATGGCCAGTGCTTGTTAGTGGTCAGTGTTGGCTCACGGATTTGGTATCCCTGAATGCAAGTGATGTGAAGTCTATGTGTGCTGGGACATACCATTCACCAAACTTCTCAGCTGCTTCACCACTGTCTCTATCAACTTTTGTTTGTCTCGATCATTCTTCCTGAACTGAGCAAATATATTGTTCTTTTTGCTAGTATCCTTCATCCTAGAAACATATGTGAATAAACAAGTTTAATAAAAGGAAGTTAGTAGTTTATGCTGTTACAAGTAAAATATCTTGGCATGCTCTGAATTATATCATACGTATTCTATGTTTGAAAAATATACTTAAAAGAAAATAGATACTAATAAACTTACAGATAGAGCAACTGCACAAAAATTAGCAATTTTAAAAAACATTCTATATGAAGTGGTGTTTTTCTATTAGCATGTCAATCCAACATAAGTTTTCCAATATCATTCCACATTGTATGCTAACATAATACCCTCTATGGACCCTGCAAATCACATTCACAGCAAGACAAGGTGGAAGGACACATAACGTTAGAAAATTTAAGAGAGCCATTTGTTTGTTTTTGTGTGTGCGTTTGTGCTGTTTCATGGCATTACAAAAATAAACTTACATTTATTTTTTAAAATTCCCTTTGTCCTCTCAAATCAAACATGCCACAAATATTTTGAAATGTGAGAAAATTATAGTTCAACTTCAGAAATAAAAACTTTAATAAATACTGATACTTAAAATGAAAAATACCAAGTGGAAAGAAAATTCGCCACACAATGAGAAGGAAAAATAACACCTAACTTTGTGTTATTTTTAGTTAGGTAAGGCACACCGACAAATAGTAAAAACTAAGGTAAAAGTCTATTTTTTATTTTCCAAATCACATACTCTCTACTTGCAGAAAGAGTCCAAGCCCATATGGTAGGATTTACACCGCATTGGTAGCCAACATTCTACTTCCCAGTCATGTCTTACAAAATACCTTCTTTCCTGTGTTATAAAACAGTTTAAGAGCACCGATTCTTACTTACATCTCCTGCAAACATATTTTAAGGCCAATTAAACCTGCTACTCAGAACACAATAGGAAAATGTTTTGATAAAATCAACATAAACAGCAATCATGTAAGACCACACCAAGAGCAGGCAAGAAAAAAAGGGACTTAGTTTTGGGTCATTAAAATGGACTGAACTTTTAAATTTCATTTGGCCAGTTATCTTTCAATGGAAATCTCTAGTTCTTCATTTTGTCACAGAATCAAAAAAAAAAAAGAAAAAAGGTTGCAATTTCTACAAAAAAGTTAAAAAATATGTACTCACTTCTCCAAGAGAATAAGAGCAGTGCTTGGGTTCACCCGAAGGTATTTAGAAGCTGGTTGTCCGTAGTCAGCTAGGTAAGTAGACCAATCCCAAACCATAAACAGGTCAAGGAGCTGGGGGAGATGCAGGAAACTGTCAAATCAACTTTTGATTATTGACCCACAGCTATTACATAAGTATATGTTATTAGTGATCCATTTCAATGTGCAGCGCTGCTTAGATGGGAGAAGAAATTTGTTTGAAAAACTCCATTTACTACACTTTGCAACCAAATCAAGATACACTCTATTTTGTAAATTACTAACATTGTCAGGGGTTGCTTTCTAATAAAATATGTGATTGCATTTTCAAAGAATTGTACAATAATGAAAACACTTAAGTTTATATTAATGCGTCTTCTAAAGTTGACAGACTTACCTTTATATATTATTCAGTCTACCAAAATTTAATTAATAAGGGCTTGTTACTTCTAACTGTATGAAGAATTTTAAAGAGATAAACTGAACCTTTTTTTTTGCCTTAGAGGTAAGTATGTTTACTTTTTTAAAAAAGCTGTTTGCACCTAGACTTTTCCCAAAGTAACCTAAACCAAAAGCTCACATAATCTCAATTAAGTGCATTAAACCACCTCTGCTGGATTCTCTCTGGTGACAGATGCTCAGTAGTAGTATAAAATGAGGGTTTCAGGATTCAGCCTGTTAAGTCTAGGTGACCATTTTGTATAAACAAACAACAACAAAAAGAAATCCATTTGTTTTCCATGGTGTCTTAAAATTGACAATTTGCTTTATAATCTTCAGTTAGAACTGTTGTCAAATATGGAAGTAATCTTTTAAAAGCACTGCCATGCCTAAACCAAAGCACCAAATTCCTTATCCAACTTTAAGACCCTAATCCCCTTTAAGCCATTTAAAACCAACTTCCTATCCCCATTTGAATTGTTCAAAAAGCTAAATGCTTTACTTACTAAGTTCCTTCAGTTTTTATATTATTCTTTCTTTTTTGTTTTAACTCACTTTATATATAGCTAAGGAATCTACTGGTTTTGCTTTCTAGTGAAGGAAGCGTTTGCATTTACTTAGAGGATGTGAGGAGACTCTGAGAAGGATAAAACTTCTGTTGTGATTATAACCACTAAAGAAAGGCTACAAAGAATAAAGATAAATACAAAGAAAGGTTGCAAGAAATTAACTTTTCCTCATGAAGGTAAGGGACTTGTTTGAGTCTTTCTCCATCGAATGTACAGCTGCTAATACAGACTTTCTCATAAAAGAAAACAGTAATTCCATAAATTTTCTAAAATGAAAATATTAATTATTTTCTTCCAGACAAGCCATAGCCAAAGTTGCAACACTAGTTCAGAAACTACCCTGAGTCCATGTTAAAGAATACATAAGTAGCCCCACTGCTAGTAAATGTGCTGTATGCCATCTGCCTTTACAAAAGACCTACATTAGTACCTATTATCAGTAATTGAAAGAAATGTGAAGAGGAGTTTTGCTTTTATGAAAAAAGGCCAAAAGTGAAACTAGTGCTCAGTGTCTTGCAGCAAGGTGTTAAGGAGGCAGTTTCCCCTAAGCAGCAAGCGTGGCACTGCCAGACTTCTTCCTGGGAACTGTAGCATACGACATTTCTACTCCACAGAGAACGACCGTGAGGATGGCACAGGGCTGGGTGGCGTTTCGTTCTGTTGTTTAGACCCATAATGATCCTGTATAGGGTTTCTGAGGAGCGGCTGGTGGGTTTGAACCACCAACCTTGCGGTTCAAACTGACCTTGTGGAGCACATTATCCCAGCACCACACCAGGGCTCCATTAATTTAGGTTTTATGTGTTATTTGGTATGACTTGGTAGGTTGTATTTTGCATCCAGGAATGCTCAAAAATGTTTCCTACATAAATTAATGGTAATTGTGAATTGTGTCTTTCTTTGCTTAGACTTATGAAAGGTTTCACAGGTTTTGTAGGAACGTTCTACTTTTGGATACTAGAAGAAACTTACACTGTCTAGGGGAAAAAAAGGTGGTGGGAGATACTTATTTAATGTTCAGTGTAATTTCCAATGATTAACCGGCAACATAAAAATTTTCCTCCTCCAGGAGACATAGTTACTTCCATCCTCTATGCTGGTAAGACTGATGTCTCTGGGCTATGACTCTGCATTTTCAAAGCTTATAAAAATGACCATTGCCTTTAACTCAGTAATCCCACTTCTAGAATGGTAACATCAGGAAACATTAATATATGTAACAAAAATTTATGCATAAAGATATTAACTTCAAAAGTGTAATTTATATTATTGAAAACCACCTAAATTCTCAATATTAAAAGAACAACTAAGTAGTGAGGTATATAGAATAAACGCTTGTGGCCATTAAAATGAATGTTTATAAGGATTTTATATAACTCTGAAAGATAATTAAGATTAGTGTTGTCACTTCAGTTACATAAAAACCTATCAAAAAGAGAAAACTTGAGAAAATGTTAAGAATGTTTGTTATTTGTATGATGAGATTAAAAATAACTATTATTGTCTTCTTCATTTTCCAACTATCCCACAATAGGCTTGTGTCAACGCTACAACTAAAAATAAAGTTTATATATTAACTTATTAAATATTAATAATTAACACCTCTCACATAATTGTAAGCAAAAGCCTTGTTTTGAAATGACTTAATTTTCAGGTGTATGTATGAAGGGACTTCAAAAAGATCTTGGAAAATGAAGTTGCAAGGTAACGGAATTTTTCCATGAACGTTTTAAAGCCCCCTTGTATGTGTTTGCACACACTTGTGGGTATGCGTACAAAGTCACCAGAAGGTAACCAGTTAATACACTTACTGCAATTCCGCTGCCTTTCTGAAAGGCATCATATCCCTTTTTGGGATATGGACGAGAAACAGGCCTTAAAATGAGATTCTTTCCTTCTTGGTCTGATCTAAAGGAGAAACCCACTTAATGAAATTAAAACCTGACACCAACTCCAACTTGGACAGAACTGGTTCTTCTGCAGCACAGACAATTCTCTATACGCAAATACTATGCTTATAATCCACATATGGTCCAATATTTGCATGGAAATCTCTTATGACTAGAAATTACAGGGGCCACAAGAATCTAACCTACCTGTCCACATGTAGACAAACCTGTGCTGTTCTTAAGTGCTATGAGTCAGTCCTGACTCATAGCAACCCTATGTAGAATTTCTTCCAAGAAGTGGCTGGTGGGTTTGAACTGCTGACCTTGCAGTCAAACTGACCTTGCAGTCCAGTGCATGATTCCAGAGTGCCACACCAGAACAAATCTATAAGCTTTCATATTCACATTAATACTTCACAGAGATACATATGTGTACAGTTGTGGAAATCAACAGAAATTTGCCACATTAACACACTATGGAAGTGTATTGCAAATGTGGATAAAAGAGCCAAGGATCTAGATAAGATTCATTTACTCACTCAAAAAATGCTGACTGCCCACCTATGATATGTTGCATTCGGCACTACAGAAAGTCCCTTTTCTCAACGAGCTTGCTCTCTGCAACCAACCAAAGCTGGCCTACAGGCAAATCTCCAGCAATTGACTTCCCTAGCTCTTTCCCAGGCTTCTTTTGGGGCACACTGATGGCAAGGATAGATTCTCTCATAAGGGATTAGGTTTAATGTGAACGGAGTTGAATGATTTCCTAGAGACAGAAGCACCAGTGTACCTCATCCATAACCATCATAAGATCCTTTTTCACGTTTCGAAGCAAAAGAGGCCACGCAACTGGGATTGTAGTCCTGGGTCCCACCCTACACTATGCCAAGCCAGCTTTTATGAACTGACCACATTTCCATAGGCTATCATCCATGACCAGGCAGTACAAACCCTGGTCTTTGTAGAGTCTATTCAGACTCATTGTGACCATGTGTTGCAGAGAAGTACATTCCATAGGGTTTTCATGGCTGTGATCTTTATAGATCTCCAGGTCTTTCTTCCAAGGCACCTCTTGGGTGTGCTCAAACCATCAATCTTTCACTAACCATTTGCAGTGACCAGGGACTACAGTCTCTGACTAGGGCATGACAAGCGGGAGGGTGGCAGACAGGAAGCAGGCACTGGGCTGCTCCCAGGTGTAATGGCTGGCACTCACATTAATCCTCCACAGCCACAGTAACTGCCTTGACAGCGGCCTTTCACAATAGTCTAGGCTTCACAGAATGCATTAGGTCTTCCTATTAATCCTAAATTATGGAAAACCTCAGCTCTCTACTTTTTTCATATGGCAGCATATAAATAATACCTTTACTATAAACTATGCAAAGTATCTTCTCTTACAAATAAACCATAAGACATAGACTCTACAGGTGAATATATTAGTTAACACATATATACCTGAAGTTCACAAATATGGATCAAATATGAACAAAAACAAAAATATCCCCAGATTATCCAGAAGCAATTTTATAATTACTTATTAAAGGATAAAGTCAGGCATATCATAATGAGAAATTGGTATTAAGGTTTAAAAATGGGTTTGTTCCAATAACCAAGTAAAGTAATTCCCCCTTAAATCCTTTTGGGAAGTAAGGAAACTATGGATCATACAAAAATGAATAGCAACATAATGCTCCTCAGTTCTGTGTCAACATGATTCATAAGATTATCTGAAATTAGTATCCTAACTTCCCCCCGCCCCAAGGATTAAAAACTACCCTTTATAACCAACGAATTGTATAGCACACAGTGGGTTTATGCCAGTATTTGTGAGTGAGTTGTAAGTTCCATTTCCTTAGTATTCCCTGTGTGTGTCCAGCAAACAAAAAGACCAGTTTAAAGGAAGAAATGGTTACATGGGTAGTCCCACTTCTATGCTCAAAACAGCTGAATCCTTTAAGAACGAATCACTGAAAAACTGTTTGTGTCAAAGCATTTGGTTTGCTGACAGTTTCCCATCCTACTGTCTCATTCCAAGTAGAAACCCAAGAAACTAGGGCTCTGAGACCTGTGGAGATCACTGTGTGCCAGTTACACAACGAACCCAGGCAGACTGAAAATCACTCTATGCCTCTGTCAATGTAAACCCTGGTCATTTTTTCTTTGAATCTGGTTCAGCTTTCTTTGTTGTGTG